CCTCCAACTCCACTTTTTAACTCTTTACACAACACTTCACACCTCACTCACTCATTCACTCTCGTAACCTTTTCAACCACTCATTTTATCATAACATACAACTTAACCTAATTGGTTCGAGCTAAAACACTACACATATTCATAATATTATCATAAAAATTTTCATATTAATTACTTCACCATGTTCACTAAAATATTTTCTAGTAGTTTTAACTTGAGATACTGTTTATTGGATCTATTATTGGATCTATAAAAGAAAATGTTTACTAAATACATATAGCATCAATAAGATATGAGTCTAACCAGATAATGGATTGACATCACTTCTTATCAAAAATCTTAAAGCAATGAGTTAATGGATCTTCAACCTTATACGGTATTTTATTTTTTTAATTCTATTCAACACGGGACTTAAACTTAAAACTTTAACGGTACCAAACTAAACCGAATTCGATTGAGTTGTATAAATCTGTATGACCGAACTGTGTTTCTGAAGTTATCATTTCTCATCCATATATATAATATATATATATATGAATACGAAGGAGAAAAGTATATTCATCAACAAAATATTGAACAGATGTATCTATTTTTCATGATGATTATAATAGTGAGGAGACCTCAAATTAATAATAACAAACTAATTAGCAGCAGTGAGAAACATGTATTATATGAAACTCCAAATATTTTATTGTAGTGACTATGAAGTAAATATATATATAAATAGGAGATAGGTAGGTAGGTACTAGTTGTGTAGGGGCAAGTACAATGGAAGCAGCTTGGCATTGCTTATATCCAAAGTCAAATATATGAAAGAGCACACAGAAAAGAAAAGAAAAGAAAAGTGGTAAACCTAACACTCACTCCACCTCTTCAACAAAAAGACCATTTTACATAACAACAAACTATCTGTAATAACTCTGCATTTCTTTTCATTTCATAATTCCCACTCACTCATAGTTTATTACACTGCAACTGCTACTTTCAAATGTTTCAGTTCTTAGGTTGTTGTTTGTTTTCAAAAGGTTGTTGTTTTATCTAATCATAGCTGTGAACTCAAAATTACGTGAATAATTAATCACAACACGATAATGTCATATCGCTTGCCAGTGAAGGCTGCGAAGGAACCGGCTTTGACGGCAAAATTCTAATTTACTTCACACACTTATAATATAAAGGAATTATTTCTAAAGAATGTTGCTAACATGCAAACACTGCCAAAGCAATCACGAAATTAAATAATTAAATAATTAAATAATCAAATACATATATAAATTATTATCGATATCGTTTTGAAGGAGTTACTTCTAAGGTATTATTGCCCCCTTTACCAACAATTTTAGAAAAATATATATATAAGAAAATGGATAGATTTTTGAAGTGGTTATTACACGACTTCTGATTATATTTTAAAACACGATTTTTCATTTTGAATTGAAAAAAATAAGATTATTTGTAGTTTAAAATATGATTTCTCTTTTTGAAAAAATAAATCTCACTTCAAAAGTAATTTTAGTTTACTTTTTTAATTGAAATTTTATTTTTTTAATTATGTTTTTAAAACGTAGTGTGTTTATATATACATTAATATCAATTTTTTTATTAGAAATTGTGTTATAAAATATTTTGTAAATGATTGTCGATTTCAAAATTACAAAAATATCTAAGTTATTTGTTCTTCAATATTAATGTGTTGTATATTAATAAATGAAGGTTTAATTAAGTTTCAACTTCATAAGTTTTGAAATCTTCGGGTCTCTAATAAATATTTGTACTTTATTAAATTCTTAATAATTTTAAACTTTTTATGTGACGAAAATTAAGAAATATGATAAAACAAGAATAATCACACTATTCAATTAACAATCACACTATCTAATTAATAGAAAAAATTAATAATATGAACTCAGTTAAAAGAAAATTCAAGATTCAATATATAACAAAAGTTTATTGAAGATCAAATTTAAAATTCTATTTTGAAACTTAATTAAGCCATACATAAATAAATAATCATATATTGCTTGCAATGATAATTACTTGAAATTGTCATAAAGACTTTGCTTCAAACTTGAAATTGTTATGCAATTTTGTTATTCAATATATTTTTTTTTATAGAGTTCAAAGTTTATGCATTACAATTGTTTTTTTTATGACATTCAATGAAGGAAAAAGAGCGAACTCAAAAGAATAACTATTTACCTGTTAGAAAGGTATTAATTTGGAAGAAGAATGATATTTTTGAAACCCAAAAATATTTTACATTTATTTGATATTATTTTCACTACCTTTTACTATTTTTTTTTCTTTAGAAATACCAAAATTCGTTTTTTTTTTACCATTTTACATCTGAAAGTGAGTTGTCAAATGTTGTTTTCTTTTTGGTCAAAACCAACCCTTAACACTCCTTTATATATAAACAAGTAATTATTTCATATCATCTTTATTGAAGTATACTCTGAGACTTTGTTTACTGAGGAATGAATTTAGATGAATGAGATGAGTTATAATTTTGATTATTCGAATCAAAAAAGAAAAGATGAAATGAAAGCAGAAAATGGACATTGAAATGAGACACCAAGAAGTTTGAAAGTTAAAAGCAATGAAATGATTAAGTTGAGCGATGTTACGTTGTATGGTAGTGGGACTTAACTTAATGAAGTGGAAGTGACAAAAGTGGAGAGTGAAGTGAAGTGAAGACAAGGCAAGTAGCCATGGCTTACCAAATCCTTTCTCACAATAACATTGACTCACTGCCAACTCCTTATATAATTCACTTCCTTCTAAGCCTTATACTGTTACTGTTATACTCTTAATTAGGTTTTCCCTTTATGCTAAATTTCTTTTGCTTTCACCCATTAATCACATGCATGCATGCCTGCTTACCTCCTCAGAAACCTTTTTTCCATCACACCATCATCAATATATGACTTTAACATGCAAACTAGTCATAGCCAATGCCCATGACCAAACCAAACCACCCATTAATTAATTTATTACAGACAAAAACAAACTGCTTTTACCAAAGACAAATTGCCAAACCAGTTGCCTCCTTCTCAAGGTGCAAACCCTCGTGTACTTAATTATGGTTAGATGCTTTTGTTTGATTAATTTATTCTACATGTAAGAATAAGATGCGATCACACAAAATGTTATTTAGTGCGGCTGCAAAATGGCCACATGGCATGCTGATCTAGAGTTTAGGCGGAAGATGCATGCAGAATTTAACAAAGTTAAGATTAAGAGAGAAATACATGGTTCAAGAAGTCTCGTATCAACCAGAAATAAGACCAATTTATAGTATACATGTGAGTATAAACCTCATTTCACAAGTTGATTTTGTAGGATTGAATTAGACTTAAAGTTTATCTTATAACGTATTTTATTTTTGTATAAGATTATACTACCTTAATTAGATCTTTTCAGTGTTTAAGTTTTATGTGTATTTAATTATCATATTTTTTTGTGTGGCTGGGCTTGAGTTATTTGAAAAGAGACTTAGGAACAGCAACAGTAGTGTGTAGAGTGAATTGGAATTACTGGTAGAGGGTAGTCTGCCAAATACCTACCTAATATTACAAGTTGCTTTCCATTCTAAACCGCTAACTAGAAAAAGGTAGTCACTACCAAAGTAGTGATGACTCATGATTAATAATGGTGAAAGACTTTGAATTGATTAACTTTTCAAACCCACATGATTTCATTTTCCTAACAGAGACCTTCTTACACCGTAAACTTGGTAGGTCTTAGCAAGGAAATTTATGACATGCGTCGCTGGGCAGAGTTATACATGATCCCTTCTTTCATACTTTTACATCTCTGGCATTATGAAGAATTAGTTGCAGTTTTTGTTCTAGTGAATCACCAAATATGAAACTTAACTAGTAAACTCCACTTGCATTTTTACCTAAACCTTATAAAACTACACGCCACATTAAATCATTTCTCCCTCGTCATGATATATGAGCAGATAAGCAAACCCCATCTACATACATGCTACATATACATACGAGCCCGTTAATACAACTTGTCTGTTCAGTTTTTATTTTTGTTTGGGTACTTTACTTTGAGAAGTAAACAAAGAACATATTCTTGTAATCACACAATGCAACTTTATTTCATGTTCGGGAGTCTTGTTTCATTGGCAAGTAATGGGAAATAGTGTGAAAGACCAACACGATACTGCATCCAATCTTATTTCAGTGGGATGGACATTGCGTCTTGCTCCAACTTGAAGAAAATCATAACTGTTTGTAGCAAGAAAGTATACCATTCCAGGCATATTTGGGCCAAATAAGATGAGAATTGTAAACCGTGCAGAAAATAATTAGACCAGCACTCTTACTGCTATCATGTGTGATTACAGAGTGCAATGACATTGTCGTTGCTGAACCTTCAGCTTTCTGAAGGGGGAGACCAATTTTACATTTACCTTATGTGAACCACTTTTACAAGGGAAGCAAGTTCGTGTGTCTATTTGTTTACTAGTTATTATGGGCTTGACAATAAGCTTCTTACCATGAACCATCCAGCATTGGAAAACTAGCCTATAAAGCAACAACGCAGGGCAGTTTCTTCCTGCACCTGAAAACTCACATCTTGTACCTTCCAACTTTCAGGGTGATCAATCCCACAAGTAAAATTACAGTCCAAATCAGTGACTTCTGGATTGACGAATCCACCAAAGAAAAAATATATTGGTACGAGGCGAGCGACATATATCAACTAAAACACACTTCACTGATGAATTACTTTATCTAGGTTGGGAAAAAAAAAACAAGAGAAATCTCATCTTCGTAGCCTTGAAAGCACAATACACGTCTCAACTGAATATGATGAACATATAGAATCCCTTGCAGCATAGCTTCACTAAAGAGCTAAAAGGGACATGGGTAAAAGAGCTTCATTTGATCCCGTCCCCAGGACCAAAAGTAAAAGAACATTGCACACAAGTAACCAGTTGCTGCACTACATAAATTATTTGTGAAGCAGGCAACAAGGACTACAGAAATCAATTTCATTAGGGGGAATAAACACCTGACCGCATGATGAATTTTATTCGGGTGTGCACACCGGTGAAGGACTGATATGTTTTCAAGATTCATTTGCGCACTTGTCTTTTGATGGACATAATGCTTTATAGTTTACATGGCGACTGAAGAAAGCAAACAACAGCGAGTCATCGTGCTTCACGGGATGGGGGTAACCCAAAGAAAGAAAAAAAAAACATCATCGGAAAAATAACACGACTAAACATTCGCTCCACTAATTATGCTGGAGTCAAACCAACCACACCTGCAAACAAGCAACCACAAACACATTATCACACAGGATAAACATAAATTCAAAAATTGGAGTATAAACATTATGAAGACAGCCGACATATAAATAAGCTATAACTTTTGAAAATTGAATTGTTGAATAAACTTCTCAAAGTTACCAGTAATGGCAAATATATTAGCTTCACTAATTCAAAAACTATTTATTATATTTTGAGTTTATATGAAAAAATAGATTCATTTCATATTTGAGGTTAATTGTTCTACAAATACATAATTTCAATTTAAAATAATCATCATGAGCGGGGGGCAGGATGACAAAGGTGGGGGGAGGTTTAAATTTAATTTGAGTGAAAAATCTAACTACTAATAGTTCAATGAAATACTCTTAAAAAAAAGTCACATCAATAATAAAATGTCACCGTGATAAGTTTTCTACTTCTCTGTTCAATTTGGTAGTGGATAGCAGTATTAATCTACACTATAGATCAGGAGTCAGCTTATTCAACAGACTCAAGTGCACAACTTTTGAAAATTATATTAGAGATAGTCTGTAAATCATGCATTACTTATCAAAAAACCAGTTTGTAAGCAAATCAGTGTTATAGAAAATAGTTCATCTTAGAGCATTGAAGCAAAGAGTAAACCAAACAACATAAATATAATTATGTTGAATTGGAAGAATAGAAGAACATGAAAAGGATAGATCAGTTCTAGTTTATAATTTTTTTCATACCACATGCTAATCTTCCACCAGCATTTCCAGTTGTCAAACTAAGTTCATGACCCCCTGCAAATGTAAAAGCAAACGCAGATAAGACAAGCAAAAATAATCCAGCTATGATTCATACATATTGCCCATACTACACAAGATTCCAACCGCAATGTGCGATACAAAATGCAAGATGAAAAACCAATGTCATTCCCAGGTCCTTCCTCCCATTATACATACATACTCGCTACTGTTTATTTCGGTAATGCAATTGCTGAAGTCAGTGGAAGTAATTTTTGTCCACAGCACAGGGATCCAAATGCAAATATAAATAAATATTAAAATGAAATAACTAACCCTTTCCAAGATCATCCTCAAGCTCATGAACCACCAAGGCTCTTCCAACTACTGAATTGGGGCCAGAGAGTGGTATCTGCATGTTTGATGCCAAACATACAACACAATTAGCCACTTTCAATTCAATGTGGAATTATATCGTTCAAAATGGTTTAAAATTATGACTGACGAGCATAAAAACCATGATTTCACAGATATGTATCAAAAGAACAAGTATCGTGTTAAAATACAAATTAAAAAGAGAACCTGAATATCCACGATTGAAGCCTCTGCAACCCCTATATTTCAAAACAAAGGACAACAATATACATAACCAGGTCCAGAAAGCAGTTCAATATAGAGGAAGACAAACGAGAAAAGAAAGAAGATATACCATCTGCATTAGCAACTATGTTTCCCAGGTCACCCGCATGACGGATTTCATCCTCAGGAGCACCATGTGTCAATTTTTTAGGATTAAAATGTGCTCCTAAAAGACATTCAAGAAGTTTAATTGAACCGGACCACGGCAAGAAAAGAAAGCAGTGAAGCAAAAAATGGAAACAAAGTTCTAGCTGCCTAACCTGTCGAAATACACCCATTTGTGGTATCACCATACTCATGCTGCAAGAAAAATTGATAAAAGAGTTTACGAAGAAAACAATTTTGAAGGAATGGACATGAAGTAACAAGGTAAGCAAACACTCACAAGGTGAAAACCATGAAGCCCCGGAGTAAGGCCAGTAATGCGAACAGTAACCGTTGTTGGGCCTACTCATTACACAAAGATAGGTAGTTAGAGACACGTGAAAAGTAGCAACTGACATTCACACATGACGAAAGGCTAATTTGAAACATCCACTCACTTCACTTCTGTCTCATTTTCATCCTATTTTTCTTCGTATCTTTCTCTTCCCAACACTATCCGCTGCAAAATGGGGGAGAATGTTTTACTTTCTCACTTCTCATCTTTTCTCTTTATTTTTTGCCTTGTCCGGAAAAGTTATCCCACAATTACTTATTAGAGAAGAAACTAGAAGTGAAAATGAATGCGCTTCTCCACTAGGCTAAAATAAACTTGTGTACTTAACTCTTACGGAAACTCTTCTACTTAACTCTTCAAAAGCTGAGATAAGCTGATTTTAGCTTATTAAAGAAATTCAATTCATTTTATTTCCTTGTTTCTTTCAATTCAGATAAATTTATTCAAACTATAAAGAATTTATAAAACTACAATTCCTCAAGCGAAGAAGAGTCCTTCTCTTGTATAGTTATATTATGCTCTTTTGGTTACACCAGTTTCAGAAAACCAAAATGTATCAATTTCTTTCTTCACACTTCAATGCTTGCTCAGACATAAAACGAGTCAATACTCAATTTGATATCTAAAAAATTGAGGGGTTAGTTGATAGATCCTGAATACTTTTTTCATATAAATGAGTCCGTAAAAAAATTGAACTACTAATAATTCAATGAAATACTCTTAAAAAAAGTCACATCAATAATTAAATGTCACCGTGATAAGCTTTCTACTTCTACCAGACTCAGTGAGACATGATAGAATGAGAATAAAATGCACAATTCCTTGAATAACTCATCGCTTGTCACCATTGTATTCATTTCGACTTCAATCAAACTAATTGTTACAAAGAGGAGAGGACAAACCATCGTCTTCTTGTGTTAGGGTGGCTACGCCTTCGACGGCGGAGGTTCCCTTGAGAACGGCGACGGCCTTCTTGGTGGCGGCGAAGACGGTGAGGGTCCTCGAGCGCGAAAAGGTTAGGGATTGGGGAGTGAGCTTAACGGAGACGCCGGAGAAAGATGACCGGAGAAGCGAGCTGGGTTGGAACGGCGACGGAGCGACGACAGCGTTGGCTGCCATTGCTAGATGCATTGTGACGGAAAGTGAAAAGAGGTTTAGATGTTTGTGATAATGCTACACAGAATGTGAGTGAATCTGTGGTTAAAAGCAAATTATAAAATCCTCTTCATCTTATAGTGCATCGCGCACACTCGCTCTCGAAACTCTAGACCTTTCACTTCTTTTCCTTTTTCATTTCTTTTTTGGCTGCTTCTGAAATTTAGTACTATTTTCTATCAGATAGAAAAAGTAATAACTATGTAGTATGTAATAAATATAATTCATTAATATATTTGATATATTCTTTTACAATAATTATCTTAACCTCTGTTATTTTCTTTAAAAAACCAACTCTAAGAAAAAACTGTTCCTTTCATAAATTTTACGAAAATACCTTTTTTTTTTCTCTTCTCAAACAAACAGAGAAAAGTGTAATATGTTTATGCTGTTTATCTTCATTATTTTCTCTTCCATCTCATTTCGATCAAAACAAAGGGCAGATGAGATAATTGTTGAAGTCAGCCTAAACATTTCCTATTATTTTATATATAGATATA